CGCCTCCCTATCCTTGACTGGTAGTTAGATCTAGAGATTCGATTTAGACACAGGTTGAATTTTTTTAAGCAAGAATCTTTAAAGATGTTACTGTGTGCATCCTATCTCCTCACATCAAGAAGTCCAAAATGTCTTGTAGGGCTAAACATATTTTTAAAAGGAAATTTTCACTGAATCACCTTGTGTGTAAATTATGGAAGAATTAAAAAGCAAAATTTTCCATTGATGCTGGGTCCAAAGATAACTGCCCCAGAGAGGTTATTAACAGCATCATAATTTTCAATCAAAGGAATTCTTCCCAAATAAGTTTCATATTTTGCCCTCTTCTCTGATTACTTTCTATGTGTGCTTTCTCTAAAATATGCACACTGTAGATTTGTCCAAATACTTTTTATCAGCATGAAAAGCACACCATTAAATTTCTCTCCCTCTGTATTAAATTAGAAATTTTTCAACTGTCAAACACTAGATTTAACTAAGGTTAAGATAATTGCACAATATCCCTTGATAGCACAACAAACAACACATTTAAAGGATAAAGAATTGATTGGGTTACAAAATTAAAATCCTAAAATATGACACACCAAGTTCTAGATCTGAGAGGACAGGCGGTGGTGATGTTAAATGCACCCCCAGTGAAGGAGTAGGGGGGACACTCAACTCTTTTTTGACTGATGTTAAGCGTACCATATTTGGTTGCTATGATATTAAATGGATTCCCAATTAGTGATAAGTAATATCCCAAAATAACACCAAATCAATGGTCAACTGAAAAATTCACTCTGGTGCTGCTCATAAAGACTGTGTTATCAGAGAATCTACCTTGTAGCTTAGCATTAGAAAAGAGTACTGAACTAGGTAGAGCAGAGGACACGTCCTGGTTCTAATCACGTGGGATCTTAGGAAAGGCCCTTCTCTCAGCAGGTTCTCTGAATGTTACTAAGTGCCAGGAACGGGGCTAAAGTTTTTATAATCATTGTCTCGAACCCCTTCTACCCAACAACCCTATGAGGATGGTACTGTCATCTGTCCCCATTTTTCTAGATGGAGAAAAGGAAGAGACAGGTTGAAGACCTTGCCCAAAAGAAAGACCAGAACCCACACTCAAACACAACACATAACCATTTCCATAACACGAGCTTCCTAACATGTTTAAAACAAACAAACAACTCTTCCCCATCCTGATCTTGTTCAATTATTCTGCCCAAATGGCTCTGCAGACCCTGGCCTTGTTATAAAAGGTGGAAATCTCTGGGATTTCCTCCACTCTTGCCGGCCTGTCGCTCCCTTTCCTTTGACTCTTCTGGTTTCTTCCTTCCTCTGCCCAAGTCTAACAGGTTGGGAGATTCCTGCCTGGCTCTTCCCTTCTCCCACTGGCCTCACCTTCCTCTCTGGCTCCCACTACCAACCACTCACATGGACATTACTAAATATCTGCATCTACAGCCCAAATTTCAAACTGGCTTCCCAGATTGCAAGTGCCAAAGGGACAGGGATTTGTGTCTGTTTGTTCAATGATTCATGATCACCCTCTGGCACATGGCAGGTGCTCAATAAATATTTATTAAATGAACCTCCCAGATGCACCTTAAACACAATTACGTGCAAACTTAAGGTTGCTTACACCCAACATTAAAAAACAACAACAACCAAAAACAAAGACTTGCCCCCGTTTCTTCTAGAGCATTGCCTAACCTAGTTGTGGTAGGGTCCCCCCTCCCTAAGGAAAAAAAAAAAAAAAACCCCTCAAG